ATTCCCGCGTTCGCATTTTAATGTGATTTTAAACTATTTAAGTGCAGGAAGGGAAAGAACTTGCACACTGTTTGCGTGCAGCGCAGACATATGAAGCGCGAGCGCAGAGAACAGTGGTCCCGATGCAGGTTCCCGACCTGTGTCCGTTCTCGAACTGTTCCGTGCATTTCCACAAAGGTTGTTCCGGGCCAGAACTGACTTCTCTTTCACATTTATCGACCAGTATGCACGAAATACGTCAGTATATCATCATAAACACAGCCCTTTTTTTGTCTTAAGTGAACGTAAACGCATGTGTAACAGTATTTTTAGATCTGTGTTTGTTCGGTGTTAAAGAGACAGCCGTCTAATAAACGTGCTGCCTATCATTAAAGGGGTCATAAGATGCGATTTAAATTTTTCCTTTCTCTTTGGAGTGTTACAGATAAAAAAAAAGTTAAGTTATCTTTAAGTACAGATAGCTTAAAAAGCAAACAGACTAAACTCAAATGTTCCAGTTTATATATTGTTGTGTTTATTGGCTTTAAGAAATGTATAAATCATTCAAACAATTTTTTCTTCACATCAACAACTTTATCTGGGTTACACGACATAGATGAATTTCGATAATGTATACTGACTTAACTGCATAATAACATTAAAAAAAAATACAATTACAATACTTGGAGTATCAGAACAATTAAAAGCACACTGAACAACAACAGACATGTTTGTCACCTACATTAATGTATTTAACAGAAACAATGCTTTTATATAAGAGTAAGCTCATATTGTTAAGTCACATTTTCAACAGAAACACTTCAACAGTCAACAGAATGTGAATCTGTATGGAGCATAGACATTTGCACAGTATTTGTGAATGGTAGTAGCTATTCAAAGTGTCCAAAAAAAAAAAAAATGTTTTTACATTTTTACCAAATAGGTTTGCCAAAGACTATTTTAGGCTGCAGGTCTTTCTGCCCCAGGGAAAGTAGAATACATTGAACACATCAAGGATCATGGCTGCGATCATCGGACATCTACACTCTCAAAACATGTTTGTCACCTGCATTAATGTATTTAACATAAACAATGCTTTTATACAAGAGTAAGCTCATATTGTTGTCACATTTTCAACAGAAACACTTTAACAGTCACCAAAATGTGAATCTGTATGGAGCATAGAAATGTGCACAGTATTTGTGAATGGTAGTAGCTATTCAAAGTGTGCAAAATATTTTTTTTTTACATTTTTACCAAATAGGTTTACCAAAGACTATTTTAGGCTGCAGGTCTTTCTGCCCCAGGGAAAGTAGAATACATTGAACACATCAAGGATCATGGCTGCGATCATCGAACATCTAGAGAAGATGAATAAACATCAACAAATTAAAATTGATTCACATGCATCCAAACTCGCATACATTTCAAAAGGTGCAAAATAAAGGGATATTTCACTAAAAAAATGAAAATATGCTGTTAATTTACTCACCCTCAAGCCATCCAAATGTAGGTGACTTTTCTTCTTCAGTTCAACACTAAAGAAGATTTTTAGCTGAAACTGTGGTCCTTGCTGATTCATATAATGCAGGTCAACGGCTACTGGCACTATGAGAGTCAAAAAAACATACACAGGAAAAACTAATTTAATATTGTGGCTCCTGATGATACATTAAGGTCTTATGAAGTATAGTGAGTAAATTAACAGCAAATTTTCATTTTTAGGTGAACTATCCCTTTAACCTACCAGCATACTTCAATGAGTCTTTATGACAAGGCTCTCTGCCCGCCTGCTTCACGACGACCGCCTGTATGCTAGTGCCGCTGCGGGAGACAAACGGGAAATTTGCTATTATACCTTTCAAATAACATTACAATCAAACTTGTAAGGTACTTAAGAAAAGTGTATATATGCGTTTTATTCTCTACTTACCAATTTAACGTTTGATTTTCATCTTTTAGATGGCTCTCTCTGCAGTGCCTCAGTCTGGACCGCTGCTTCAGCAAATTCACAACGACCAAAACTTACCGCCTTGTGTTATATCAACCAATCAGCGCGTTTGTCAAGGCAGAATTTCAAACACAACCAATCATATTAAACAGAGACAGAGCATAATTTAAATAAATTGAAATTTTGAGTTCATTACACTTAAAATCTTAATTCGAAAGATTTTTGCTCCCAAATGAGTTAATTAAACATACCTGTTTCATTTTTGACACCAAAACTTGGCATTTTAAGTAATATTAAGTTATGATAACTTGATTTCTTTATTAATGACAACATTGGGGTTTACAGTGTATAGCCCTATTGTAACGGGGCTGACGAGACGTGAGACGTGTGGATCCATCTGCAAGCTTTATTAAAGAGACGTGGTAAACAGGCAGGGTCAAACAATGGCAAACAGGTATATGGCGGGCAAAATAACGTCCTAAAGACGTTCCAAGAACGTTGTTCTATGAACGTTTTTTATCAACATTATAAGAACATTCATCAAGTACAAATAACGTTCTAAAGGCGTTCCAAGAACGTTGTGCTAAGAACGTTTTCTATCAACATTATAAGAACATTCATAAAGTACAAATAACGTCCTAAAGACGTTCCAAGAACGTTTTCTATCAACATTATAAGAACATTCATTAAGTACAAATAACGTCCTAAAGACGTTCCAAGAACGTTGTTCTATGAACGTTTTCTATCAACATTATAAGAACATTCATCAAGTACAAATCACGTTCTAAAGACGTTCCAAGAACGTTTTCTATCAGCATTATAAGAACATTCATTAAGTACAAATAACGTCTTAAAGACGTTCCAAGAACGTTGTTCTAAGAACGTTTTCTATCAACGTTATAAGAACATTCAAGAACAAATCACGTCCTAAAGACGTTCCAAGAACGTTGTGCTAAGAACGTTTTCTATCAACATTATAAGAACATTCATCAAGTACAAATAACGTCTTAAAGACGTTCCAAGAACGTTGTTCTAAGAACGTTTTCTATCAACGTTACAAGAACATTAACAACGTTATAAGAACGTTCTAAAAACATTATTTTAATAACGTTTTGTACTAACATTTACACAACTTTTAAAGAACGTTAGTGAATGTTCTGGGAATGTTCCCTGTTAGCTGGGCCCTACGTGAAAAATTAATTGCCTCCTCCTGTTAAATCATGAAATAACGCTCCGGCTACTAACGTAACCTCGGTTCCTTGAGATAAGGGAATGAGCGTTGCGTGAGACGCTAAGGGAGAGACCGTTCGAAAGGGAACTGTGATTAACCACTTTATGTTAGAAAACGGAGTTAATTTTTATTAGCCACACCCAGGCCTGATTACTGCCACACCTGTTGAATCAAGAAATCACTTAAATAGAACCTGTCTGACAAAGTGAAGCATGCTTAAAGAGCAACACATCGTGCCGTGATCTAAAGAAATTCAAGAACAGATGAGAAACTAAATAGTTGACATGTATCAGTCTGGAAAGGGTTATAAAGCCATTTCTAAGGCTTTGGGACTCCATCGAACCACGGTCAGAGTCATTATCCACAAATGGAGAAAACTTGGAACAGTGGTGAACCTTCAAAGGAGTGGTCAGACTACCAAAATTACTCCTAGAGCACAACGACGACTCATCCAGGAGGTCATAAAAGAACCCAGAACAACATCTAAAGAGCTGCAGGCCTCACTTGCCTCAATTAAG